AGGAGGAAGAAAAGGAGGAGGAGGAGGAGGGAGAAAGGACTCATGGAACGGTGAGCTCTCCTCCTCACGGAACTCGAAGTCGAGCCGAGCCCTGAAACTACGTGTATAGACTGTTAAAGAAGCAGAAATAAACGTACCGAATGTGTATCGGCAACAAAGATATATTCTAAAAAGAGAGAGAGAGAAAGAAAAAGAGAGACTGGAGGAACACGTGGAAGGCTCCCTATGACTTCCGTTTCTTAACGCGATTTTGTACGATACGAAAATAGACGGTTAAATCAAGAAACAGAGAATGAAAGTCTTTTTCACCAAACGCCAACATTTTCTTTCCAATTTTTTCGTGCTTTGTATTGTTTTACGGTTTATAAGTTAGTTCGCGTTACGTATTAACAAAAGTTTTTTTTTTTTCAAATAAGAAAAGAAGATATTTCTGTCAAAATTGATAATTTATGTTTTTAAGTATATGTAGATAATATTATATATTATATATACAGGATGGATCAAAAGTTTCTAAGTATTATTGCTAAATACATTACTTTTCTTATGTTATATTATTTCAGAATATATTCCTCTGATATTGTGTACACACCTAATTTACATGAGAGTGTAAAAAGTTATTGAAAAAAATGTATTGAGTTTTGAAGTCACTTAGAAACTTTTGGCTTACCCTGTGTACTGTACATAAATTTTTCAGTCTATTGATACCGATAATAACGATGAATCATTTTTTATTTGCTCTACATAAAAATGAATCGAAAGAGCTTTAATTTTGTTCTTTTCTCGGCATTAATTTCTTCTTTTTCGTTTACGTATGTGCATTTATGTGTACTTAAGCGCGAAAGTATGTATCGCATCGTATTTATCCAGACGGCAGACAAACATGCTCTTCAGCATGTACCGAACACCTGTCGCGTTCGTTCATTTCTACAAAGCTCTCTATTATCAAACTCTAATACATTACATGCGCATATCAGAAACGGCTAGTTTAATATTGTTCGTTTCTATTTTTTTTTCTACGAATACATTAATTTATCTTTGTTGATTATTTCATTTTAACATAACTTTATGAATAGAAAATAAGTTCATTTTTTAATGTTTTTTATAATTTAAGAATCTATAAGAATTACATATAATTAATTAATTGATTGTTTGACTGATTAATTCTTTACATAAAATAAAATAATATTCAGCAACTTACAAATTTGCTGGACGTATTAATGGCAGCAGACGTTGCGACGAAGTAACGTGCATAGGCCAATTTTCTCGATTCTTATTATTAATTAAGATCATCGTGATCTAATTATAAGTACAAGGAACTTGATTCTTGATAATTAAATTGTTCGATACGTTATAAGTGATTTTAATTGATCTGTTACGATCTTATAAATACAATCTCGTCGATTCTCTCCTCCGGTATTACCGAGACGCGGAATATTTGAAATAAGACGTTTCGAAGGAAATTGACCAATAAGGAAATAGTCGACGACGTTGGCGGGAAAGTATGATGTAATCGATCTACAGAATACAATTAATATCATTTTCTTATTCCTTTAATTTAAGCTAATCATACTACAACAATAGCTACTATTACTCTTAATTAATTCTAAGTTTAATACAGTCAAAGAAATATAATGGTAAATATAAAGAAAATAAAAATATACGAAAAGAATAACTAAATAAATTTACAAAGTAATAGCATTCGAGTTTACAATACGAATTCGCGCGATAATTTGTACGTAAACGATTAACCAATGAGGGGACAGTAAATTGGCGGCGCCACCAAACAAACGTTAGTTAGAGGCGCTACATCATAGAGGACTAGAAATATGGCCGCCATTTTGCTCGAAAGAGAGAGTACAATGTAAGAGTGGGAGGGCAGTATATATGTACATAATAAATAAAGAAGTGTAGAAGAAAAAGAGGGAGATTAAAAAATGGCGGTAATGATAGACCATCAGTCGTACCCCGTGTTGGTGTGTGTAATCGCTTGGGACTCTAGAAACTCTAGACAGCGCGACGACGACGGCAATGATGAAAAGAATGAACGAGGACGATGGCAAGGACGAAGGTGAGAAGCAAGGACGTAAAGATAACGGAGAGATTGTCGATATTGAAGGAGGGAATAGAAAAAGTCGATATAGATACAGAATTGGAATTAGAAGAATCTGACGAAGGTGACGGGAAAAAAAAGAAATAGGAAAAAGGCTGGAAAGGGGAGGTGAAGGAGGAGGTAGTGGTATTAGCAGTAGCAATAGCAGTAGTATTAATAGTAGTAGTTGTAGTAGTAATAGTAGAGTAGGAGGAGAAGGAAGAAAGAATGCCGCTTGAGCTCAGGGCCAGAAGGATCTCGCGGCAAAAAGTATGCGAGAAGGTAAAGAGCTCCGAGAGGGTGGCAAAGAGCTCCGAGAGGGCGGCGACGATACTGTCGCCGGCGACCTTGCCGTCGCCGCAGCACTCGTATGACATTTGGACGCGCGGAGGACGACGACGCGACACGGAGATGTTAAGCATGCGCACTTTCTCGCGAACAAGCCGGTAGTCCGGCGACCGTGCACAGACTTGACGGCTTTTCGCTTTCGACTGAAATCGAACGTCGACTTGCTGTCAGCCTGCCCTGACCTGCCTCCCTTCTCTCTCTCTCTCTCTTTCTTTCTCTTCCCTCCCTCTCCTCCTCGTGCCAAACCACCCACCCACTTTTCTGCAATCCCCCCTTTACCCCTCTTGCGCGCACGCGTGTCCCTTCTATTAGTACAACGTATTTACATGCGACATTATCTAACTCCTTATACCTAGATAAAGCTTGTCTTGAAATAGAAGAAATCAAATCCATTATGTGATAACATACTATACGTTCATTGAGAAAAAGTTATTGCCATTGAAGTCAATATACTCAATGTCATGATCACCTGTCGATTGATATTTGGATGAAATGTATTAATATGTGTATGTATGTATATGATATAAAACAAGGCTATATTATTCTTGGTAAATTTATAGAATAATCGATCATATGTTTGTTTCATTAATATATCGATATATGAAAGAATTCTAAGTATTTAAAAAGTATGTAGATAGATACATACTATAGATATAGTATATTATGATATATATATATTTCCATGATGAACTACGAAAGTTGTATAAATTATAAATTAAGGTTTTAAATCTTTCTAAAAATAAATAATAAAACCATTTAAATGTATATACAAATATTTTTAACTAATATTTTTTACACATTCATTTCTTAGATCTTACAATTAGATAGATAATATAGAATCCTTTATTTACATCTATATTTTTTATAGTTATTATATTATTTTTTTATTTTATAAATACTAAATTACAAGATAAGACTTACAATTTAAATTTTATTATTAGAATGAAACTTTTTTATACTTTTTTTATTATTCTCCTTTTTATGGATTTGAGCAACTTTAACGATATTTTCTAACATCTCTAAAACCTCCCTAGAGTCAATAGCACATAATGTTCCGATACAGTCAGTCATATAAATACTTCTCATGCTCATCATTACTTAATTTTAGCTATCGAAGGGGAACTAGTTTTTCAACGAGGTAAGATTATTGACAATTAGTATTAAACTTATATTTACATACATGATACTTTTTCTTTGTATTTTTCTTGTTGCAAAAGAATGATCGCAGAGTGTATATGATATTTTGTATGCAGAGGTACGTCTAGCAGTTATTTCTTCTCTTCATTCAAATTATACTTTGTCTTTAATTTATCTATTTCTTCCATCTTCTTATCAACATCTACTCGTTTGAATGCCTTATTACTTTGATAATAGAGGACCACTAGGTAGCGGTTACATACATTGAAACCACTGAGATGATCGCATGCATTTTTAGCATCAAAGATATCTTCATAAACGACAAATGCTGTTCCTCTAGTTTCAGCTGTATTACCACTATTTTCAAATAAAAGAAATAAATAATGTTTTCTAATTGTTACAAGAGCTGAAAATTTCACTTAAAAGTTTAAACAGATACTTACACTCTTATTTGTCTAATTGCTCCATATTTACCAAAAATATCGTACATTTCTTCAGCTGTGATCTTGTAAGGTAAATTTCTAATATATAAAACTCGATTTACTTCAGGTGGGAGCCTCACCTGTAAAATAGAATTAATAGTTTTAAGAGCTATGTACAAGTACATTTATAGGTTAAGTTATACTTTTTTAAATAAATATGCATTTTAAATAAATTAATTGTTTTATTTTGTTAATTTATATTTTAAAACTTACGTTAGCTCGTCGTTGCAACATAGCCATAGTCATTTTGACGAAATAAAATTATTTCTTCCTTAAAAAGAATAAACAAATACGTTTGACAATAATGTCGGCTACAACCACGGAGGTTAAGTAAGCTACAACACTGGATCGTAATGCTAGTGACAGTCTGACCAACATTACTTTTCTAAAAACGATTTATAAAATATTTGAAACTATTATTTTGATATAATTTTTTTTCTTCTCTAGTTAAATTTTTTATTTAATTTTTTTTAAATATAATTTATAAGAATATAATATACAAAAGGTATAGTACACATAATTAATGTTAACCTAAAAAAAAATTAAGGCTTATACAATGAAGTGTACTAAATCAATAAACAGGTAATTTTTCTAATTATTGAAGTTTTTTTTAGATTATAATTCTATGTTTTTTATATTTATTTATATATATATATATTTATGCATACATATAAATTTGGAGGTTAAAATATAAAGGAGATGGATTATATTTGTGTCATTGATTTTATTTGCAATGATAACATGAAACAGGAAGTACATTAATTTAATAAATATTTATATAAAACTTTGTTTTCATCAGAGCTGAGAACTAAAATATTATTTAAAAATAAATTACAATTGCATACATCATGACCACGAAAAAGATATCTCTTTTTCCATATGGATTGGATATTTCTAAAATCTCTGTATCAATAAATTTTATTGTAAAATATAATAACTGAGTATCTAACAATTTTTAATAGATTGAAGTGTATATGTTGCATGGTTAAGATTTTATTTAAAAAAACATTTGATATCAAAATGTTATTTTTCTAGTTTATAAATTTATCTTTCGATTGATTCTATATAATTTTTATTATTTCGAACTTTTCGAAGAAATTTTATTTAGATAGTTTTAATTGTTTTGAATAAGTCAAGCTATGAATATGAGTTAAAAGTCTAATAGGAAGATTTGATAATTTAGATTATTATAGGCATTTCTATAATGAAGTATTTTTTTATTTTTTTTTAGCATTGAATAAGTATACACGTACATATTGGAATTGCTAATGGAATGAAAAGATGGCACAGCAAATCTATGTTTCTATGTAACTATACTTGCCATAACATTTGCCCAAAAATAAAATTAGATTTTATTAAAAGCGGCAATATCAACGCTCTGGACTAAATCTTCAATTTCTTGTATTTGTTCAGTTAACCAATCAACTGACACTTTTTCGTCCTCAACAACACAAGAAATTTGAAGTTTATGAATACCGAAAGCAAGTGGTACAAGCTTAGCTGTGAAAATAAAACCGCAGATATCTCGTTAATGTACAATGATATATAAATAATTTTAAAAAGAAATATTTTGAAATCATGTAAAATTGTAATTAAATAACTCATCGCACTTACCTGCGCCCCATAGTAATCCATCTGTCTCAATTTTGCGTACTTTAGATTCCATATCTTTCATATCAGTCTCATCATCCCACGGCTTAACATCAAATATGATATTTGATTTTGCAATTAATGCCGGTTCTATTTATAAAAAGTACATTAGACAATTATTAAATAATTAAACTTAAAAAAAGATGAATGATTTAACTCACTTTTGGCCTTTTTAGCAGCATATGCAGCAAGACGCTCTTCTCTAATTTTAGCTGCTTCTGCATCTTCACCCTAATAATTTAGAAATTGATGGGATTGGTGATTATAATTTATATGGTGAAATAATTGCGTTAATAAATTACCACAATTTGTATTAAAATTTGTGTCAAGAATGGTAAGAAATGGTTGATTTTATATGGTTGATATTAGTGTCTTGGGAATATCTGGTGTATACTGATTAGTAAAAATACGCGATATATATATATATAAATATATATAAATATATATTTTTTTGTTTTTGTTTTTAAAGATACTGAAAATTAAAATTAAAGAAGCATTCCATGTTTTTTTGTGGCTTAAAGAATGTGCTGTGAGTAAAGTGTTAGTATTTCTATTAGTAAATAATATCGAACATATATATATATATATGTATGTATATATAATTATTATATGTAACAAACTTATGAATGATTTTATTTCCATCTGCTAACTTGCCTCTGAATCTGAACCAAATAGATCAAGATCTTCGTCATCTTCTTCTTTGGGTGATGGCTTTTCTATCATCGCACTGGGTTTAGCAGGACAAATTTGTAAAGGTGGAAGTGATGGTTTTTCTTCTTCAAGAATATTTACGCGTTTTTCCAGTTTTTCAATAATGTGTCTCAATTCTTGAACGACTATACATAAATTTTGTTGAAATAATATGAAGTATTGTTTAAGCGTTCTATTTATATTATAGATTATAACATTCATTAAATCTAACTCATAACTATTTTTTATATCTCATTTTATAATATATAATATTTATCAAATATAATAAATTAATTTAGAGAGAATACAAATGTAAAAATGCAGTTTGTTCTTACCATTTCGTAAATCCTGATTGTCTTTCTCGAGAGTAGCTATGCGTGATACAACATCTTGATTGGAATTTTCGGCAAATGCACTAATGTCATCCATCTGCAAATTTATTTAGAAATTGACTGTGGAGCTGATTTCTTTTTTTGTAACATTAAGATATTTATAACTATATTAAGAACAATTTTTAAATATAATATTTCTTATCAAATATCTTATTAAAATATATAAATTTTATTCAAATTGAAATAACGTATTATAAAATTGATTTCAAAGTCTTTAATATATCTTAATAACGTGTGTAAAGAAAAAATGTAACTAATAAAGCATCGATATAAGAAACATTTTCTAATGAAACTAAATGAGCTTGTATGTGTGTATGTGTCATCTGCTTAAGCTGGCTAGGCATTAAATAAAAATTATACTAAATGCATTTAATTAATAAATACATGTTACAATTATAAGCGGTAACGAAAATGCATTATTTTAATAAACATAAAAACTTGTTACTATGATAAATGAGTGCTGTACTCACACATTGTAAAGATTTTTTAATATGTTGACGTGCCTTGGCAACTTCATTGGCCAAACTTCCACCAGCGGATAGGATTGAACAATTTGATTGATGGCTTCCCTATATCCACCGATATTGAAGGTTAATTTACACCAGGTTGATTAAAGCAAACCAATCTCTATATCATATCTCCATTGATATATTTTATAATGAATAAAAAATATATTTGATTTATTAAAGAATGTAACAATGCAATTTTATTTTTGATCAAGTGGAGATAGACATTATAAATATCACAACAAAAAGCATTACAAATAATTTTCATGCACAAGTACCAGCAAGCATTAAAAATAGTTATATTGTGTTAAATCCCACATAGATATTCATCAGCAGAAAATCTTGAATACTTATTAAATTCAATTTGTTTATAATAATTATCAGTTTAATACTTAAATATCATTTTTATCATCAATACTTTTTACATGCAAATATAGGTAAATTTTTTAATGCAATCATGCTTTTTTAAAAATAAATATAAGCCAATACGAATAAAAATTATAAATAAATAAATAAAACTAATAATGAGATACGTCAGATAAGTCATCTAAAATAAATTTCAAAAGCAAAAAGAAAGATCAATTCCTTATAAGAGTAGATAAATGCATATTTTTATTAGATTTTTATTTTAAACAGATAAGTTAGTATATATGACGATATAAATTTGCTTTAAAAAATAAAAAATTTTAATAAGCATAATAAAATAATATATTAACTAAAATGACTAACCTAAAAATGTGATAGCGCTAAATAAAAATAAAGAGTGCCATTTATACACATATAACACTAATTGTCTAACGCAATAAAGTTAATACCTTATTAGGCAATTGTTCTTTTTGCTCTTTAATATTATCTTTGCCTTTTCCTCTATTTCTATGTCTTGTATCAGCCTTGTTTTTTTTTTCTTTAACTTCTTTGGAAGTACACTTTGTATTAACTGTATCATTACAAATATTAATATCTTCCTTTTTAACGTCTATCACATCACATTTTTCTATGATATTCAAGTCGTCCATTTTTAACACGTTACACTCATTTTCTTTTTTAAGATTTTTGGAATTTTTAATTTGGCATTTATACTGTTTTAAAACATCAGTGGATACATTATTATCTGAGTGCAATGATTTGTTGTCTTTAGATTCCTCAGATTTTTCAGTTTTTAATTTCATGGAAGCGTTTATATTAATTAGATCTTCATGCTTGTTAATTACAGAGTTATCAGTGTTAAGGGCATAACTTCTTATAATCTTGTTGGACATCACCTTAAAACATGTTTGACTTTGTGCAAATACAAGATAAGGTTTTACTAAGAGAACAAAAAGCGTTAAAAAATGGACTATGTATTAATATTGTGTGTATGTAAATTGTGTAATATGGAATCTATATATAGTATGGAATGTTTTCATAAAATAATGTTTAAAAAAGATTTTCAAATATAATTAGAATACAACTGTTCGGTTTAATAAGTTGTATTCTCTGAGGAAATATTTTATCGTGAAAATACCTATGCTGATCTGCATCATAGCTTAAAGTACAATTACATAAAATTAGTTTGCAATTAACAAATTTTTCCAAAACCATGAAAACTCAGGAAGTCACACACGAATAAGCATTAAAAGGATTTTGTTATTACCCATCACCAGATATTCCCTCAAATATGTGTTAAGGATGTTAGTGGTTAATTACACGACATACTCCAAACCCATGAATATAGAATTGTAAGTGAAGGAAAAAATTATGCAGATTAGCTGTGGATGCTGGGAGCAATGATAAAAAATATATGTCTAATAGTTTTATATTTATACATTTTATCATGATACACACTGAGGATAAGATATTTATTGAAATTATGAATTAAAGGGAATTTGTACATGACACATTTAGTATGTATTGCAATAGTTCATCTCATTTAAAGATCTATTGCTGGTTTTTTTAATTTCATATATATATATATATATATGAAATTATATATATATATCAACAAATCAGATGGAAACAATGATTTCTTACCTTGGCCATTCGTTCAAAATATAGCCGCTCTGCTTTATCATAGGATGGTTTCTCAAACCATACCTTTTCATGTGTAAGAGCTGTTGCTGTTGCCATATTTACTGTTGTTATATTTGATGCTAAAGTATAAGAAGTTCTGTAACAAAATATTTATTCAAATGATTTATGAAATTGTATCATCACAGACTAATAAGAATTTATATTTAAAATTATGAAAGTTGTTCTTAAAAAATGAAACAATATGCTTAGATAATAAATAATAATTTCAAATCAGTTACATTTATTATATAAGAGTACAAAAATATCAACTAATTCTATGATTATATATATACATACTTTAAAATTCTTTATGTCGTAATTATGTGACATAACAACAAGAACCTTCAATTTATATAACACTAAGTCTCGTTAACAACTATCATCGTCACTAAAGTAAAGACTTTTAGAAGTACTCGTATTTACATTTATTGTCTTGCTGCAAGACAACTTTAATTGATATCGACGTTTATTTGTTTTCAAGATTTGATCAGAAGATTTAGTCATTATATTATTAAGTATATCATAAATTTGTTCCTCCTGATCCTTTGGACAAACACATGGGAATACTTCAACAGGATCAAAGTATTTTATAAATGCCTTAAGCTCGTTATATGAAGAGTGCATGGAATAACATACATTAAATGTTTTTCTTCTGCGTTCATCCCATTCAGCTATCTTAGATATATCTTTTCCTTGCCATTTTAATACAGATGGCACAATAATTAATATGTTTTCTTTACAAACATCGTAACGACATTTTAATGATCTATCTGATTTTTTTGTGCATGCATGTATAGGAGTACTGTTAAAATCATTTGTAATATGCGGAGCTAATTCAGCAATACTACGATAAGTATCATAGACATGATCTTTAACGTGAATTTGCATATTTAAAGATTTAGATAATTCCATGAAAAGAAACTCTGAACCATAACAGGCAGAACATTCTAGCATAACAACATTTCTTGGGTCTTGATCGAGCCATTCCTTAACCACTTCATATATTTTCGCTATACTTTCTTTACGAGATGGCAAATAGGAGAAGTCGGGATTTAAAAAAGTTGTATCTAAATAAATTTTATCAAATTTCTTTGGAAGTAATCTACTACCTTGTTTTACGTGTAAAGATCTTAATTTTGATAAATCATCCGGATGAATTCTAAAGTCTCCGGTATAAAGTATTAATTTATCTTGTTTTTCAAAAAGAAACATAAGAGAGCCTGGACAATGTCCGGCTGAAACACTTAATACTATGACAACGTGATTATTACCCTGTTGGTCATCGTATTCTATAACAACTTGAGTGTCTATATTAATTTCTTTTATATTGCAATTATCATTTAAGCTAAATTTATTTTGCAAAATTAATTTGCTAATTGGACTACAATAAAGATATTTATTACATTTCGTTAAGTATTCAAAAAATGAATGATTTAAACCATTCATATGATCAACATGACAATGACTAAGAAAAAATACAGAAGAATCAAGATTTTTTCCATTAAATGAATCCACTGAAATAGCTGGTAATTCCTCGATAAGCCCAAGAAAAGTTGACATTGTGCCATTTGGAATATACCTGTAATATAGAAACGAAGTGGCAACTACATCGTAACCTCTTATAATTTATAAACCATGAAAAATGCAATATATAAATATAAACAAAACTATTCTAATAAAAGATAGAAATTTAATTAATATTGAAGAAAACATTCACCTTTGTTTTTTTAATTTTATATAAATTTAATAAAATGCAAATTATAAATTTTTTAAGTACTGCTATACTTTAATATATAACTGTCTAATTTACATCATATTTTAATATATGCAAATATGCACATATATGTATATATATATTTATGTTTCGTAGTTTAAAATAATATTATAATATACAAATAAAATTATAAAATTATACTAAATAAGCAATTAGCACATGTTCAAAAAATGGAGTAATATCTTTATTAAACGAAATTAACCATATGTGGTATCGATCGTTTCATTCGTTCTTATATATATATATATATATGTATTATGCATATCAACTAAAATCCAAAAAAACTGAGGATCATATGTAAATATATTACAAATTTTTGTAGTAATTACCGTAAAAATCGTTTGGTACACGTGGCACAAGTAATTTCACTAATTTAATAAAATAATCGTCTTCTTGCCAATTTCAATGCGCACCAGACATAACGTAAGAATCGAATGGAAGGACAGTAAAGTTAGGTGCAGTGATCCCAGAGACTTTAGTTCGTCTGATTGACACAGGGGCGTAAAATTATCATATACACTAGGGATCCTATAGGAGGGATGCGCCATGTACATTGCTGGGGGACCGGAACTCGATTTTGCGCGCGAATGATTCAAACATTGAAATAATTATGAAATAATGAATTGCATCAAATACAGAAAAAAAATGAACTATATTTAATGATAATTAAAAATTTATATTAAAATAGAATAGGTTACACGAAAAAATTATTATAAATTCAAGCGGTCCCCCAAAATTTTCAGCCAATGACACATGAGCTGAATATGAATGGCGCATCCCTCCTACAGGATCCCTAGTACACACCAGAAAATTATCGTACGCACAGGAATAATTTTGAATTTGATTAAATTAGAAAATTTTGGATTATATTTTCAAAATCTGAAAATCTGAAAAAATTGTCCAAGTTCCAACTTTTTTTTTTTACAGTTGGTAGAATTTAGTCGGCGATTGGATAAGTCCACCGAAAGGCCACCAAATCATAAAAAAAAGTTGAACCCCTTTACCTTTCTAACTTACCCGTTTGCAAAATTTGATGAGTAAAAAAAAAAATTATCGTACAGGCTGAATTTTGGATCGTACAAGGCTTTAAATTATGTGACACGTACGATAATTATCGTACGAATGGGATCACTGGTTAGGTGACATGAAATGAGATAGAAAAATTCGTGGTACATACGCAAGTAGTTGTGCGCAGCCGGTAAAATATGAAACTGAATTATGAGATTATTTTAAACACACATATAAAAAATGGGATACAACTATAGTATAAATGTATTATATATATTTTCATAAAATCAATTATCAACAAATAAAATAGAAGACTTAGATTAAATTTTTAATAATACACGAAAATAAAAATCCACTTAAAATACTCTTAGAGTTCTGATGTTGGTTTGACTGATAGGCGAGTTTATCATTGGTTAAAGTAAGCTAGCATAAAAAGATCGCAAAAACATTTAAAAAGTCATATAAACAACTTTCTAATTAATGTTTTGTTTTAGAGAACAACGGCTCAGTCTATAAGTAAATTTCGAAGAGGAAGGTACTCCGAAAATATATACCGTACTTTTAAATAATAATCGATACTTCTATCGATTAATTAACAATTATTATAATATTCTTATACACTTTACTTATATTACAGCATTATTTAGCACTCGAAGTCATCACTGCACATGAACAATAAATTAATTACGTTAGAATGAATAAAATAATAAAATCTGAACGTTATAATATTTAATTTTCTTTATTAGAATTATTATTACCGTTGCACACATGCTCGAAATAAAACAAAGTCATATAAACAACTTTCTAACTAATGTTTTGTTTTAGAGAATAATGACTCAGTCTGAAGGGAAATTTCGAGGAAGATGGACCACCTAACATATACACAGTGCTTTTAAACTTTAATACGAATTCTTTTCGATTATTTAACACTTATTTCATTATTCTAATACACTTTATTTATTTTTCAGATTATTTCAACGCATATTCATTGGTTTAAACGTTACATACACATTAACGTACTTTGAATTGAAAATAATTTTAATATGAATTTATTTGTTCAGTTTATCAGATGACTGTATTTAACTTGATTGCGTTCCTGGATCGGAAAGTAACACAAAACGTTCTAATTACTTACATCGCAAATAAAATTGTATTAATTGTAGGAAAACTGGTATTTAGTCATTCAGTTATATAAATATATATATATAAGAGTGCGAGTGTATGGCGTACATGGAAGTGGTTGATGAAAGATTTGTAGCGATATGGATACGAGTGCATGTGACAAGAAAGAAAAGCGTACGATATCGGCTGACACCATCGTTTGTAAACACTCCGAAATCTCTCGAATGTTCCCGAGCCGGAAATCGGGAAGAAGTCTTTTGTTTGACCGATTGGGAATAGTCTGGAGATTTCTAGAATGATTAACGGAAGTGATCGGGACCATTGGTGGGGTGAATGCATATATAAACGCGGTGAAGAGGGCAGTCCTCGGCCCTTCTTGATTCGGTGTGACGAGTGAGTGTTAAACGAGTGTAGTTACGGTTACTTATTTTTCTTTCGGTCTTTAAGTCTTTGTTATATTATAATAAACATTTCTTTTATTCAATAAAAGCTTCTATATATATGTCTGTCTGTCTGAAACCACGCCACCCACTCACCAAACCACCCCCACATAATATTCATTAAAATTTCTGTTTCAGAAGCGGTTTAATGGGTAGCGGGTAAATTTTTTGTTCATAAAGGGTGGTACCATTTACGAATAAAGAATTTACTTCAGGGATGCGACCTTGCCCACGCGAGCCATGATTCTACTTCTTACTCCCAAGGATAGAATCATGTTCATTTAACTTTTAAACTGGAACTATCGTCTCTTTTATTTTTCTTTTTTTATTTTTTGGCTTTTTGATATGCATAGTTAGATATGCATTTAGCATGGGAAACTGAAGCTATATTGTAAGGGAAGGCATCTTCCGCTAATTGTTAGACGGACCCAAGGATTCTTTTCCGTAAGTTCGCTGTTAGTATATGGTGTTGGATTGAACATTTAGTGTAGGTTTCTCCTAAATTTAGAGTCAGTGGACTATTCCAACCGGTGGGAAACCACTTAAAAAAAAAATCGTGAAAAGTTCCGCTTTAAAAGTTACACCCATCCCCCCTTTTTTCCTATCCCTTTTATTGTTTAACTCTTTTTTATCCCTTTGTTTTCTGTTGCAGATTGGACTATGGTAAGGAAACGACCACAGGTGGACCAAAGGAGGACCATAAAGAAACCAGAAGTGGACTTGGTAATGTAGGATAGTATAAAATAATTATTTGTATAAATAAAATGAAAATTTGTATCTTTATATAATTCTTTTTGTAGCATTGCACATGTGTGATCATTATTTTTAATGTATTTTCTTTATTTATAGGTTCCATGGAACAATTCATAATTGTATACTCTTTTTAATTATTATACTTTATTTTATGGAGATTGAAAATTATGTATGTAAATGTATATATAGATTGTATTTCTATAAGTTGAAGTTATTCTAGGGTGTGTTAGTTTTAAGTATCATCGATGATTCTATTGAATTTCTTTTCAGATTACACTCATTGTTTATCATTTTGTATTTTTTAGTATTGTAATTTGTCTCTGGTATTTTCGGTAATAATTTTAACGATTTGTCGGATGGTACTCTTATGGTGGGGCCTAAGAGTTAGATTCATTCCTTTGAATTGTATTCGGATGTGAGCATCTTTTGGATGCACATCCCTCTTGGGTCTTCAGAAGCGGTTACCTCCTCGTGGTTAGACCCGGGCAATGGTATTTTACTTTCCATGTAATGTTTAACATATTTTTTATATTTTACATTCCATTGCAAGTAAAATCCAGCCAAAGACCGCTTATCATTAATATTCTAATAATAATTGGTTTCTTTCATTTTCCTAATTAATATCATATTCACATTCCTCTCATTGTTTTCCCTTATAATATTCACTTTCATATTATATTTCATATAATAATACTCGATTTATTTTATAGTAACTTTAATCATGTACATTCTTTCAGTCAATTTTTTGACGTGTAGTGCGGTCGGTTTAAAACACGTCTCGGTCGCGATCGCGTTCGCGTTCGCGTTTGTAATAAAAAATTTTATTATAGTTTTTTATTTTCGTTACCGTCTACTGGTCAACGTCATCTTAAGGGTAGGAAACCCATCGGGCATTCATCACTGAAGACTACAAGTAAGTATAAATTTTCTATCAAACATTTTGATGATAATTTTAATGTGT